CTTACTAACTGCAGTGTCCAAAGAAAAATACTTCGATTTCATAGCTCTTAAAGTGTCCCTTGGGAAAAATAACTCTTATTTTAGCCTGGATATACAGGCCTCCCTCTGCTCTGTCTTCTGCACTTGCTGAAACAGCCACTCTTTTATCACAATATACTGCTTCTGAAATGGTGGTTCTAGGGAATTTTAATCTTAACTGGCTTTCTATTGCATCCGAGGAAAGGAAAGGAAATATGTGGAAATCTCACCCTCACACGATTAGTCATGGAATCAACATGCCCAAATCTGAAGGATCCCACCAAATCTACCCTGCTAGACTTAACTCTGTCCAATAAAATGGACAGAATTACTGCCTCAGCAGTCTTTGACCCTGGCATTAGTGACCACTGCCCCATTGGATGCATTAGAAACTGTTACAAGAACAAAACAGGCTCTCGGATGGTGGTTTGAAGAAATTTTAAACATTTTAATGAACAAGCTTTTCTATCTGACTTAGCAATGAATGAAATCCACCTTACACTAAAAATTCCAGATGTTGACTTGGCATTAAACCACTTTAGCAAATCATTTCTAACGGTGGTAAACAAACATGTCCCCCACAGATCAACAAGTCCCTGGTTCACTAGTGAAGTTTCCTCATTGTTTAAAGCCAGAAATAAAGCTTGGTCCACTGCCAGACGCACAAGGGAGAGAGACCACTGGCTTACGTTCAGACAACTGAGAAATAAATGTACCTCTGCAGTTAGAAAGGCCAAATCAGATTATTATCTCAGCCTGATTACCAGCTCTACAAACTGTAAAAACCCTTAAAAACAAATTCCTCTACCCTTCCAACCAGCATTATAGTTGATGATCAGCTGATATCTGATCAGAAGAAAATCTGTATAGCTTTTAACACACATTTTGCTGCAGCTGGTCACATTTTTGAAAATACTGAGTCGAATCTGCTGTTAGGTCAAACTGATATCAACTCTATTGTTACCCAGAGCCATGGTCTCCTCACACTCCAGTGCTTCTCTCCAATCATAGCCGCTGAATCTCTTTCTACTATTAATCTACAAAAAAACTACTGGTGAAGATGGGCTGGACCCTCACTTCCTGCGTCTAGCATCCCCAATTATTTTAGAATACATAACATATATTTTTAATCTTCCTATTTTATCATGCAGAATTCCCAGGACCTGGAAAATAGCTCATGTAACTCCACTGCATGAAGGAGATGAGGCGGCAGATGTAAATAACTACAGTCCAATCTGAAAATTGTCCTGTTTAGCTAAAATTTTAGAACTTCTAGTAAATAGTCAACTTAAATCATTTCTATACGAAAATTCTGTCCTGTTTAATTATCAGTCTGGCTTTAGAAAAAGACACAGCACCATCTCTGCTACCACACTGGTTTTAAATGATCTCTATATGGCCATTGACAGGAAGAAGCATTGTGTGTGTGTATATATATATATATATATATATATATATATATATATATATATATATATATATGTATATGTGTGTGTGTGTGTGTGTGTGTGTATATATATATATATATATATATATATATATATATATATATATACATATATATATATATATATATATATATATATATATATATATATATATATATATATAAACTTGCTGCCTCTGCCTCAGACTGCAAAGTACACCTGTATGCAGATGACACGGTTTTATACTGTTCAGCTGACTCTGTTTATGCTGCAACAAGAAAATTACAATGCTCATTTAATGCTCTACAGGTTGCTTTGTGTAAACACAAACTGGTTTTAAATGCTAAGAAAACTAAGTTCATGCTGTTTTCCAGATCTACTAATACTGATTTTAATTCTGCAAATATCACTACCCTGATGGGATCCAACATCGAAAGAGTCACAGAGTATAAATACCTTGGCATATGGCTGGATGATAAACTCACTTTTAAATCCCATATTAATAAATGGGTTGGCAAATGTAGACAGAAGCTCGGTTATCTATATAGAAATAAATCCTGTTTCCCCATGTATGCAAGAAAAAGAATTGTTGAGGCAACCTTACTATGGATTACGGTGATGTAATTTACAAACATGCAACTGCCAGTTCCCTCAAACCACTGGACTCAGTCTATCACTCTGCACTGACGTTCATTACGTTCATTATTTAAGGTACACAATGGAGCCTTAAGACATTACTGTGTCTTTGAGGGTGTATGTTCACTGTTTGTACCATAGTGAACGAAAGTGTACATAAAAAGTAGACATACCCTTTTTGTGACAGTGTACAACATATTTTTGTTAATGTTCAACTTAAAATGAATAATACTTAATAAATAAATAAATAAATAATATTAGGGATGTTTCTGTACTCCTGTATTATAGAGGTGGGTTAGTCTAAAGTTCCTGTCACTGCTCAGGGTGGCAGAGAACTAAACTTTCATTATTTGCAAGACACATATGTGTGAAAGAGAGTCTGCAGCTGTGAAACGAACAGCAAGTAATAAAAATGTTCACTAACCCCAGCCGCAGATTGCGTCTCTCACAATAACATCATTCACACAGAATTTAACACGCAAACAAAATGCTAACAGCTAAACGCTGATCACAGCAGCTACAAACAAATAATTCACTAAAATCGCAATCTAAAGGGCATCTGCGACTAACTAAAGTACGACTAACAAGCACCATACAGGCCTTAACAAAAGTTTCTAAAACACACTCACTTTATTCACACACATCATGATAAACCAAATTATCTTTACTGTTGTTAGTTTCTCCAGAACACGTGGTGCTCAGTAGGAACCGGTGTCAAACACTTTCTGCTCTAATACAACCTTTTATGACGAAAGCCTGAAATACTGAACTATTAGAGCACGAGTCTGTCCTGTGCTGGAAGATGTTTGTGTCCCCTGTAACAACAAATGACCTATGTAATTGTGTGACCGGCTGGTTGAATTGAATTAAATGAAGAATAAATTGATATCAGGATTTTTTGATTCCACATTAGGGGTGCAACGATTATTCGACTTAGTCGACTAAAACTGACGACCAAATTAGCTGGCAACTAATTTAGTAGTCGATTAGGTGATGGTGTCATTACACGTCTTTCTCGCACTCGCTAGGAACGTTTTGACATTACCGCTCACTGGAGAATTAACAACAGCGCGAAGGCTGCCTCGAGAACAAAATCCTCAAAAGTGTAACAGCTAACCTCAGAAAAAAAGGTTGTCAGTTATGCTATTTGTGTGCCGACCATAGCTGGTTATGGGAGCACATCCTCCATGCTAAAGCATCTGAAGAGGAAACTCGTCGGCTCACTGGATGAAGATTCATCTCGGTAAGATACGCCGCGTCCCAAATCGCATACTAGCACACTATATAGTGTGTAAAAATAGCCCTTATACCATTAGAAGTCCACTCATTAGTGTAGCATGTGAAGTATAGAAGTGTGTGGTTTGGGACACGGCGATAATTGTGCTAGCAAGCTAGTTAGCTAATGTTAATGTTAATTTTCTGTTTTCCATGAACATTTAGCACCACTCGCTAACAGCTCAAGCTAAATTTAAAAGCTAATAGCTGCATAAAAGTTATTTGGTAATATAATTGATTATTCATTTCATTGTATTATTGTGTTTTTCTGGCACAATGCAGTCTCCACCACTACAAACAAATCATGAAATTTAGCTAGCTATCTGTCTAAATGATGATAGATGACAGATGATGTTCAAAACATAAAAACTAAATAAAGAGCGTGTTTCTTTCACACTGTCAACAAATGCCCTTAGACCCAAGACTGGTTAGGTTACAAAGTATCCTGTTTTGAAGCAGCCAATTTTTCCTCAAACTTACTACATTATAAAACAGAGTATTATATACTAACAAAACTATGCAGAAATGCAAAAATCCTAAATAAATCGGTTAGTCATGTAGTCATGGTGAATGTCTAACCCATTAGTCCTTTTACCAACTGAACTCAGAAAGAACCAAAGATCTTGATCTATTACTAAAACAATGTTAAGCATGTTATCCTGACATAGCAGACACTTGCTCCACACTAATATCCATAAATGTAAATAACAGTGACTGTTAACTAGCTAAACACAAAACTGCAACGTTGTATAGCTTATTTTACTTGTATAAATGTGAGCTATACTCGGTTATAACTGTAGATAACATAAGAGGATCATTTTCAACATAGGCAGTAACTTTGTATATTTACGAACCAGCGTTAGTGGCTGCCGTCTGCTAGTCTGATGCATGCACATTACCATGTCACTGTTTTAGTTTTCCACTGGAGGTAAAGGCTGTGTAAACAGTGACATATTCAATATCAAAAGCATGATGTGCCTGATACACTTGTACACATACCATTACCATGTTGGGGCCACTGCTGTGTTGAAAATGTGCCCTTACTCAAGTAATATCTGATTACTGGTGGTCGTATGGTGGTGCTTTTCCACTGATGAACGCGGCAGAGGGGATCTGCTCACTATAAAGATTTGCACACTGCAATCGCTAACACTTACTTAATAAGTAAATTAAGTGCTACATCGAGAAATAACACCACTGGTCGTTTACATAAAGCTTAACTGATTTTACATGATCAACACACTCAACTTTCAACCGATCAGAGAACAACAAGCTAGCTAGTTAATGTTAGCTTTATTTAGATTTTACTTAATTGCAGCCACGCCACAAGCGTCATCATAAACAGCTGAAAGAACAATTGTAGCAAGGTATGCAGCATTAGCTGAAAAGTAACTCACACATACTGAACCGATCAATCGATTTAGTTAAAAACTTTTAAATGAAGCGCAGAATGTGGATTTCACAATTAAGTCGTTTTTGTAAAGCAGCAGTAATTCAGAAAACTGGTCTAATTCTGTAGTCACTGTGGCCTAACCGAGAAATTTACTCCACTTAGCTAACCAGCTAGCATGAAGAGCTAGTTAACATACGGTATATTACTGTTTGAAGCCACATAGTTTAGTGTACCTTAAGCAAATATCTTACCTTCGGGAAGGGTATGGACGCGGGGGTGGGGTGGGTACAAAGGATTCGGGAAAGGGGGAAAAGATGTGTGTGTGGGCGATCTAGCTCCAATCCGACACGGCAACAAGCGTCACACTCTGAACTTTTACCTTTCACCCAAGCCCTCTATCGTCTACGCCCACGACCACAAAAAATCATTTCCATTTTTACACGGTTTTTTAAACAGGGCAGCGGAGCAATGACATTTGTTTAATGTATTAAACCTGACAGCTTAATAAAAATTTTAAACACATTTCATTTAAATGTAAAAATGTAAGTAAAAATACATAAATTGTGTTTTCAGGAAATGTTGAGTAAAAGTCATGGGAAAACGTGACAAGAAATTAACCCTGTTAAAGAGGTGAAAAAGTCTAGTTTACACAATGTTTTCCTTATACCAAATGCTGTACATTGGCCAGTGGTCAGCCTCTGAATTCTGTTTTAGTTTTGCACTGGAGCTACAGTGTACCTAAAAAACAATTTAAACTTATAGCCCACAAATTAGCGTTGTGCAACTGCATGCTGTCAAACTGGATTTCTTAAGTGGTTTCTGCTAACACAGATATATATAGGATGAAAGCCCAAATAAACAAACACCCTATAAGCCAACTTGAACTTTTATTGTGAAATTAAAAAAATAAATAAATAAAATCTTTAAAAATACAGTGAATCTCATCCACTAAAGACTCATCATCTGTGTTCATATGGTGAGTTTTGAGTCACTATAAGTCTTTTATATATCTTTATATATATATATATATATATATATATATATATATATATATATATATATATATATATATATATATATATGATATATTTTATATATCCAACCAAACAGAAGCACTTCTATTTCCACTTGTTTATTCAGTTGGTCTCTGTCTTAAAGCAACTGATTAGGGAAGTGTTGGTTGGCATGAAAACCTGAAGCCACACTGACCCTTTGTGGATAAGTTTTTTAAGGGACTGTTCTGAACACATCATCAAAATCATTATCAAAACTTTGCCTTAAACTGTGTTCCCAGAAAGAAACATTTTTTAGAATTCAGTGGGACAAACAAGGAAAATGTTAATTATATTCACAAAAAAAAGATTATTGAGTATATTTACTACGTATGACAGTGTTGCTTAGAATTTATATCTGCTACTTCCAGTTTCAAAAGATGGCACAGCTTCTCTGAGCTAGTGGCTAAAGCCAGAAGTCAGATGGCCAATAGCAGCTTGGACAGTTTGGGCTATTAACTCATAACATTGGTTTAAAAACATAGTATTACACTTGTATATTTATTAAAACATTGTGTACAAACTATTATTTCTCCTGACAAGACTGACAAGAAAAAGTTCACTTTGCCTACATCAAAATCCAAAGTGATTTCTTTTGTCTTCCATATCTCCAAGATAAAACTGAGTGTGATTCAATACCAGTTTGAAATGTAGAGCCTTTTCTCACCACTCCAATTCAAATCTTTTGAAAAAATGTCCAGGAGTGAGTATTCCAAAACTATCATAAAGCTTTGTTAACTCAATTGTAGTTTGGTAATTTGCAAGTGTTTCCAACAATCAAAACTAACATATGATGTAACCTTCTTTAACATGCTAACTAACTCATAAAATAAAGTGCTTCTTAAAATGTTTTATGCTGCTTCACCCATTACTAGTTATGATGACACATTTTTATATTGTTTTAATACACATACAATAGGCCTATATTTAATCGGTCCTATTAAGCAATAACAAATAATAATAAAGAACTGAATTGTTAATTTGACATACTGAAAATCTGAATCCAAAGTGAACATGTGTATCTGTATGTATAACACTGTTTTGTTAGTTTTATTTTCTATGTGTATTTTGCATTGTATTTTTGGATATGTATGTGTATGTGTAGGCCTGTATTCAATTAAAAGAAAAGGTCAATTAAAGACAAGTCAATTAAAGAAAAAAAAAATATACAGTTGTAAAATAAGTTTGTTAATTTGCAAGTCATCGTCATCACAAAGCATCTTTCCAATGTCGAACCCCTAATGAGCAACCCAAAAGGTGACAGTGGCAAGAAAAACGTTTACACAGCAGGTAAAAGTGGCCCAAATTTGATTTTCTCACCAAATCCGATTTTTTTGTTTGGCTGTTCAGATTATCTTTTAAATGTGACCTGTATGCGACGTTAGTCTGAACAGATAACGCTCCTAAACCGACCCGCATGCGCAGAAGAACAATGCTTCACGCGGCGTGCTCGTCCAGAGGTAAACAATCATGACGGCCAGCGAACGCCTGTCGCTCCCGGAGCTTTCGGCTTCGTCTTCGCCAGCATCACAGGAGCGATGATGAAGTTCCAGTGGTTGGCAGCTGCGGTCATCACCCAGAATATGTTCCAGTTCGACGTAAAAAGGGCACGTTATTCGGCCACGGTCACTTATTTGGTTCGTGTCCTCGGATTTTCAAAACTTTTTTCTTGAATCTGCAGGCTCGCTCCCCTACCGCCGCGTTCGGCCGTTTCCTCAAAATCTCTTCAAACACGGAGCGGTTGCGACAAGTCTCTTCTAATTTTTCGGTGCAGAAACATTAGCCTAAATGTTTATGAGCCTCAACAGCGCGAAATTATGATGAATGTCGAGTTGGACTGACGTAAAAGTCGCATGAATTCCGATCTGGCTGTTCAAACTGAGTCACATTGCCGCAGATCGGATACGTATCGGATTTCAGTACCACAAATGAGTCTCAAATCGGAATTGAAAATGTCAGATTCGGTGCGTTTTTTGCTGTTCACACTGCCACACTGATGACACATCTGTGTCACATATGAGGAAAAAGATCGGATTTGGGCCACTTTTACCTGCTGTGTAAACGTAGCCTAAGTGCATGAAAAAAGAAGAAAAAAAAGCCTGAGAGGAATGTGAAAGTTCAAAATGGGAACTCATCCTCCTCTGGCCTAGACCAGATAGCAAAAAAATGACATGAGAGTTAAATATGGTGGATATTTAAAAATACAGAGTTTAGCCATGCTTGCCATAAGAACATGTTAACATAAACAGGTAAGGAAGCCTGTATAGTGTAAGGTGTATGAGTAGCACTGATTAGGAGTCTGGGCAGGGATCAACTGTCACCAGCCAAAGCAAAAACCATAACAGGTGATGAAGAGGAAGTGACCATGGACTGTTCACTAAAGTCTGTTTGACATCCAAGTGACATCCATTGCAACAGGTGGGTAAATGGAACATGCAGGTGAGGGATTTTGGCACAGCAGAGTGAATAGCACATGGTGATGACTCCCCAGTCAACCTGGTTTAAGGGTCAGGCAAGCAGGAACATCCCCCACCCCCACATCAGGATCAATACTGCACCAGCATCAAAATAGACAGCAGAGGCAGTTGATCAGCTCAGCAACAAAATATAACAGATGTGAATATTAATTGAAGCTTTTGATCCTTTTCTGTATTATTTTAAGCATTGCACTGCTGTCACTTGATTGCCCGATTGGATAATTATATGACTAAGCAAGAGTACAAGTGTTCCTAATAAAGTGGAAAGTGAGTATATGATTAACAGAGTAAATGAAGACAGGCGGAAAAAGAGAGTAGGCCTACTAATTTAATTAGGTGTGACAGTTTATAATAGATGATTGCCACTTAAAGCTATATATGTACATAGCAGAATTTTTTAATCAGCATGACTTTTAACTAGTAGCCAATGTACGTATGTTCCATCAGACCACAAAACATTCCACAATGTCTTTGACATGCGATGCCTTTTTGGCTAACCTTTTGTGAATTCTTCAGGCAATGAAGCATAATTATTTTAGGTCATGCTTCTTTCTTGCCGCTTTCTCATAAACACCCTTTTTGTGGAATGCTTTGTAATTTGGTATTCAATGTGGCTCTTGTCATATTGTAATTAATTTATTACTGTCAGGTAAATGATGAATGTTTTTTTTTCTTTATTCTTCCTATGAAAGATCTAGGTCCTGTAGTTGACTTTCGGCGTTCAATTTTCAGCTTCTAGTTTGTTTAATGTAAGAGGCTGTGTCCTCGTTGAAGACCAAACAAAAGGAAGAAAAGTGCTTTAGTCCAAACAACAGTTAGGCCTCTTTCCTCTTGTATATCAGACTAACTAATCATTTGACCATGTTGTTGTAGATTAATATAGCGATTTTTCTTGTTGGTATTTTTTCCTTTTTGCCTTCTTCCATTTTCTTGGCATTTCCCTTTACAAGCTATAATACTCTCAGACATAATGGTACTAAACTGTCACTGTCTTCAGTACTTGTAGTTAGGGAACAATGTATGCATTATTATGGAGTTCTCAGCAATGACATCTTGCTGATCTGATTAATTATGATCATTTTAATATGATTATAAACAGATTAAAATACTTAAACAGCTTAATCAAATTTAATAAGCCTTATAAAGACATGTTTGATTTAGCCATCGTAATAGTGACCTGAGGTATCTGCTTTGGAATTTCTGCAAATGTATCATTACAGCAAGACAAATAAACAACAGCAGTAACCTAAGCTTCCTAAAGAATGAGGTAACGAATTAATTGATGTTGTAAGTTGAAACATAAAACAGCTGGAGGGGTTAAAAAACATTGCATGATTGTGAAAATTGGCACAATCAGAGGAGGAGGACATGTCACTTCACAAAATAATTAAAAGATCAGTACAAAAAGAGATCACATTAAACAGTTAAGTAGGTTCCATGAAGATAGGATTAGAAATTATTAATAATACAAATTACCAGCTTTTGCTCTCAACTTTGTTCACTCAGGAAGCTGCCGCACACTTCAGGCTTCAAGATGTCTGGCTTGGACAAAAGGTCCGCATACACAAATCCATTTTCAATGACTTTATGTTGTGTTTTCCATCTCAAAACTAAGAGTAATGATGTTGGCTGCTATGGCCTGTCTAGGATGGGGTGCAACAAACCCACTACCAAACCAAACCACTACCACACTTATTAAACCATGTACATATCAAGTGCAAGATGTTCCCTGAGGTGGATGGGAAATAACTACAAGGATGAACAGCTAATAATTAAGACTGAAAATAAAACAATACAAAAATGCACAGAACTACCATAACATCCTGCTCAAAACAGAAAAGAAAAAATAGTCACCTGGTACTTGTTCCCTTGTCCCTATTGACAAGGGAAACGTTTAATTTTTTAAAACAACTGTTTTCTCAAACTAGCTAATACAGCAAAAGATTGAGGCTAAACAAATTCACTGACCTGGTGAAGTCAGTGAAAGACAAAGTTTAACAAACTGGGCTGGATTTCCCAAAAGCATCTTAGAACAATTATGTTTTTTAAATGGGCAAATGAGCATCACTAAACACTCTAACAAACTAAACAAGACAATCTTAACATCTTGCTTTTGGGAAACTGGGCCCAGGTCATTACAACAAAAGACTATAGTTACATTTGTGTAACTATAGTCTTTCACAAAGTAAAGAGCGCAGATTAGTCTGGACAGGTGTACACCTTGGACATGTCAGAGAGGACAGGCCCTCTCTCAGGTCATGCCTAATCTGTTCCCTTTTATTGTCCCAGTGCGGCCAATAGCAAAGCTCCATGCTACAAAACTTTTAGTCACTTTTGTTTCTTAAACACAGTCAAAACAGTCAATGGATTTTAACAATAGGGTTATTTATATGAAGTATATATTCATCAAGGAACTCCTTTGCTAAACAGTTTGCACCATATTCATAGAGGTTGGAACAGGAATATGATTTTAAATCTAGTTTCAATAAAATAAAATGTAAGAGAGCAAACAAATTACTTTATTCTTGGCATCACATGCTTTAGTTAAATTGTTAATTATTTAACAGTTTACATGGTATATGTTTAATTTATCGGTGGTGGTGTGCTATGTGGTACATAATAGGTTAGGTGGTACACTTTAGTTTTTAGGTGATACAGTTTTTTTTTTTCCTTTAGACACCTTTATCGCAGAACAAAATATGACAAATGCAAAATATGAGTGCAACTTTCTGACAGTTAATCTCTAACATAAATGTGAATATCCCTGCTTGTTAGAGTATGAATAATTACTATACAAATACATGGAAATGATTTACTAACATACTGATAATTCAAAGGCTTCACACTATTTTTACAGATCATCTTAAACAATTTTCATTTGGAACAGTATTTGCAGTGCCTAAATTAGTGACTTGTGATCTTACATCTAACTATGGAAAACAACTAAAAATGAACGGAAGACATTCTGTGAAATCCCAAGTAATATGTAGTACCAACCTGACAAGGAAAACATGTTTGCACAAAGTGCATAAATGTGCACAATCATTACATTTTATTACAATCATTACATTCTATTGTAAATTACATACATATGTAAAAGGATAAACATGATCTAGGTATCAGTTCACACAGTGTTTATTGCTTAGTCAAAAGCATGGAAAGTGCCTAAAAACTATTCTGAAATTTAAGGTAGTCAAAGTAATTTCTGAATGTATCAACATGTTCTACATACTTTGCTTACATACTTAGTGTTGTGCAGAAGCATGCTTGTGTAATCGCACAAGATAGGACTGTTGTTGACTTTAGTCAGAGTCACTGCTGCTGCTGCTGCTTGAAGAATGCTGTGGCAAAAAAAAAATAATTTCACATTATCAGGACAGCATTCCTGCTTACATAGACAGTTTGTATTAATTTGTATTTATGTTTTCATTTACATAATATGTAATACATACGCAACATTTAAACTACGCAGTCTAAAAAATATGTTTAACATTCTGTGCTTTTCAGTGTGACACTCCCTATATCAAGGGCAAAAGGAACAAATGTTTTTGTCAGAAAAGTGACAAAAGTGAGAAATCAATACATATATTTAGTAATAATACATCTTCTTATGCTAAATGTCAGACACCAGTATACAACTGAATGTTCTTGTTAAATAATCGAACACTGTGTTAAAAAAACACAATTCTAAGCACATAATGCTATAAGGTTTCCAAGTTTAAAAAAAGCAGAGTAACCTGTACCAAATCTAATAGATCATGAGTTCTAAACTTTTTTCATAGTGCGACCCTTTTTGGGGTTGAAAATACTTTGCCACCCCCTCTTCACACCTTTGCGGACCACCCACACCAGCATACACATTACAGGAATTACAAAACATTACAGAACAATAATCAAATGGAAATTCTACTTACTTACTGGGTTTAAATGTACAAATCTTTAACTTATATAAATTCACAATCACAACTTCAAATTCTTTCTGGCAACTTTATTTTAAGAGTGTGGGATTTAGAAACTAGGGTGCCAGAACTCAACTATGCGCTTGTAACTGTGTCAGTTGATCTACCTGGAAACCTGCATCTTAGCCTGTATCTGCCAAAATGTAACAGTTATAAAACTAGTTTAAGCACAATCGTCCTCTATCTGTGCTCAGTGCTTTATCTGTGCTTAACTCAGTGCATACTTCTGCGATGAAAACTAATCTGAGAAAATTTCTTATGAAATTAAGTTTATATAGAAATGATGCCTAGAGATCATGACAGCTCTTTGGACATCTCTTACTCAGTGAAGAACTAAATCATGTTAATGCATCCATGTAAAATCAAGTTTAAAAACATTTTATGTGACGGGTTTACACTCTGGCTAGGATTTTAATTTATTGTTTTGCTTTTACAGACTTCATGGTCATTCATGATCATTTTTAAATTGAAATTCTCCCTTTTTTCACCATGTTATAAAGTGAATAATAATTTTGTGCACATATTTCAGTTTACAGCAGTTATTGAATAATATTTTGAGATTCTACTTTGTGAATCTATGTAAAGCAAAATTATTTCTTTTTTTTCAAGCCAATTAACATTTATGGTTGCTCATTCTAAAACCATCTTGTTCATATGACCCAAAGGAGGTGTTACAGTGCAACATATTATGTTTTTGTTCCTTTATATCCACCATGTGCCATGGTTTGGCTGGCCAAGTGTCCCTAGTGGCCAAATGGTATAAGTTGAATGAAATGAACCTTTTAGGCAACTGTGTCTGAACACATCGGAATCAGACCTCCGGATTTAACCCATCCGTGCAGTGAAACACCACATACACACTAGTGAACACACACACTAGGGGGCACTGAGCACACTTGCCCGGAGCAGTGGGCAGCCCTATCCACGGCGCCTGGGGAGCAGTTGGGGGTTAGGTGCCTTGCTCAAGGGCACTTCAGTCACGTATTGTCAGCTGAGGGGATTGAACCGGCGACCTTCTGGTCACAAGGCTGGTTCACTAACCTCCAGCCCACGACTTGTTCAAGGAATAACTTGTGTTCCTTGTGTTCATCTAAATGATGCTTTTCTGCTTTTTTTTTCACTTCTAAAATTTAAAGTCTCAACTAAAATCTGAAGAACCATTAAATTATTTCCACTTTGAGCTAATCTGCACAATATGCAAAACATACTTTTGTAAACTAGTAGGGATGCACCAATATAGTACTCTTGGCTGATATCCGATATTTTACATGTACCTGTATGTACCTATAGGCCGATGCCAATATCCTGTATTAAACATGTACATATCTTTACATCTTGGGCATACAAAACAGCCTTCTGTAAAGGCCACCACACATCAGATGCACCATGTTGTGCGCAGTGTCCAAAATTTCAAAACACGCGCACCAGCGCAGGTGCTTCATGACTCCGAGCACTGTTCAATTCCTCAGTGTGTCACAGCACAAACTCAGCATTTTACGATCACTACATTAAATTAAAGCCATATTGGGACCATAGACAGCCACAGTAGATCACGTCACTTAGAATTTACACAGGGAAAGGCAGCTAATCTTTTAGGCAAACAGACATATACTAATGGTAAGTTACCTCACTTACTGTACCATCTTAGCATTTTTCACCTTGTATCTTTCAGCTCCAAAACAGCCCGTCTGTGAAGAGGTAGTTAACTAATACCAAATGTAATAAGTGACGCTGAACACTTTTTTTTTCATTCAATTCATACGAGTGTAAAATGAACCTGACTTTTATGACTGCCCCTATGGTAGGACATTTCACTGTGTAGCTGTGAGTTTTGCTAGTGAGCATGGTGCTATGGGAGCTATGGAGTAAGATTACTGTCTTATGTGAGAGCGCAAAGACAAGGTTAAATCGAGCAAGTCAGAAACAATGAGCACGCAGAATCAAGAAAACCGAGTGAAAACAGTGACCCAGAGAGCAGAGAAACAAGGAGGTAAAGTGTGCTTGCTCAAAATTTAAATGTCCTCAGGTGCTCGGTTTTTTAAACCTATCTATTTGCTTGAACTAGATACCTGGCATCCTTTCTTTACTGCAAGTTCATTAAGACTTTAGCTCAATTTCTGAGCTGCTGAGCTAATGTTAAATATTTATATTGGTCGAACTGCTGCTAAAATAAATTTCGGTGATATGACTGGTGTGAAATTGCGCAGAATTGTGTAGAATTGAGGTGACCACTGTCCCATAGACTGTTTGTTGGGGTAGGACAGTCAGAGTACATTATGTTGCAGTGCATACTGGGGACTGTAGTGCAGTATGTTGTAAAATGGGCTAATATTAACAGGAAATTAAAATACATTTGCAGGGCGGATAGGATTGTGTGGAGGTCGTGATCTGGCCCTGGGCCTTGTGTTTGACACATGGGACCTAAACGCACTTAATGGTGCTCTTCTGGCATACGATAAATGCGTCATCAAATATAGGTTTGAAATATCATCCAAGTCTAAGAACTTGGTTGATGCTGATGATTTTTTAAAAAAGCAATTATCTAACAACATGATTATGATATTGTAGATCCCTATAAGCAAGTTTTGGGTTTTTTTGTCCCAATTCTCCCAAAACAGATGTTATTCACAGGAACCTGAACATCTATGTTCACACAAAAAAAAAGAACAAGAAATGTTTTTTCATCCAAAAAAACATTTCTTGTTCTTTATAACAAAGGCTGCAGCAATTACTGGCACAGCAGCATGATGGGAGAATGTCAGCTGCGGTGATGGACATGTTAATGCCATCTTATGCTTCTTTAGAAAACAACAGATAAATTTGAATAAACAGAAGCTTCTTAAAGTGTGGAAAAACATCTTTGAATGTTCTGACCAAGCTGCAAAGTTGCATACAAACTAAAAGCAGGTTATCTACATTTATGATTACACAACACTAACTCCAGCCTGTCATGGTACATGTTTACTGCATGTGGAAGAGTAATCTCACTTTGCTTCTGCTCCCTCAAGTTCTCATTGTACTGATTGAGGGGCATGTGCATCTACAACAAATTATGGCTTCAAAATAAATGATTCTAATTCAAATTAGTCTGCTCACATAAAAAAAACTAGTTGTAAACAGACAACAGCAAGTTAACTTAGTTAGGATAATTGCCTGTTGTTTGGAAGTTCATTAAGCTTAAAGCAGTGGTCTAACCAGAACTACATTTTGGGGTAGACTTATGAAAAAGCGGGTACACCACCTAGGGTTTTTGCAATGGCATGACATCAGGTTATCAGCAGAATAGTAATAATCCTTCATATTACAAGACAAAAGCACTACGGTGGTACAAAACTACAGCAGGATCATACACATCAACAAGAACTTCACATAAAGCCAACCAATGATTCAACAACCTTCCCTTTAAAGCATGCACCTTGTGCTCGACAGACACAACCCTAGAACAGACAAAATAGTGAAACAGTCAAATCCTAAATGGGAAAGCATCCTAAGTTAAAACATGCTGCCACGGCAGGCAGGAAAAAGGTTCATGGACCATTTTGATGACTTGATGCACAGAAGTAGACATTTCCTTTGACATTTTGGCATTTCCTATTTAAGCCATCTTAAAAGACCATTGTACCAAATTCACAAACCACTGACAACATCGACACAACAGCGATTTTAAAAGAATGAACACACTGTACTCTTGTCAGGCTTGTCAGGCTATCAGGCTTTCACAGCGCCTAAAGACACATCTTCTGACCATGTCTGCAGATTCAAAATCAAAATATATTCAGAAGAAGTGATAGATAAGCAACTGAAAGCTTGACTGAGGTAATGACAAATAGCAATACTTGCTAAGCAGTGACTGAAGGCCTAAGAAAATAAACTGGGGCTTTGGATTAGATGTTCAAGTATGACGTGATTTTTACAGGCCACAATACAAATGACAACAAGGACTATTGCACTGTTATGTATTAATTGTCCCTTCTGAGTACCTGGAGGCAAGAAGTGTTGCGTTTTACATACTGTAATGAGTTCAGAAATTGTTTTTTTCTGGAATATTTGTTCTGCTACAGTTATTTTCTCAAACTCTTGTTGTGAAGCGTTCTTGGATTGTTTATCCTCAGTTCAGGACAAGAGTTGTCTACAGGACGCCCAAGCGAGCTAAACGTAACTTAGGCATGGTGCACTCTATTAGCATATTCTTTCCATGTGTGAGGCAAGGCTGGAGCTAGGACTGCCTTAAATAAGCCTACTGTGAGCAGAAGCTGTGTCCTCTTTCAAAAGCGAAAATGTCGAAGTACTATTTACGTATCAATCCGTGTATGAAGAAGGTAACCACTAAGCCCTGCCTCATTTTCGTAGCCCTCCAATCCCTGCTTAGCATCCATTGCTATCTGTCTTTACTTCAGTCAAGTTTTAGCAGCGTGCGATCTCTTTAGACCGTGACAGAACTGTGCTAGTCACAAGCACACCCATGCTTTATAGGGAAGGGTGTTGCTGGTTGGGTTTAAGTCTGTGTTCCCATTGGTGTGAACATAGTCTTACTGTTGTTTAATCATGAAGGGCTTATTACTTTATTCTTTTGATTTCACCACAGAGTTACCTCCAGTTTTTTATAAGTTGCACAAATATGCAAAGCCAGACTGCACTGCTACGGGGATCCTAATCTGGCACAACACCCAGGGGCCCATGGGTGTCCTACTTTGGCCTTAAAATGTACAAATGCCGGATTCACAACAAACGTAGCAATGAGGATAACAGAAGAATGTTTTGTGCTTTCAGAAAAAGAGATAAAACAACTGAACTAAACATCTTTGGAAAAAGGTTCTTTGTGCAGTTCCATAGAATAACCACTAAAGAACCTTTCAGTGGATAGTTCTTTAGAGAACAATTTTTATAAATGTGGTGTGAGTGTGAAGAACTTTTTAAAGTTGAAAGAACTTCCACATAATGTAAAGGTCCTAGGAAAAACCCTTAATTGGCAAAAACCCTTAAACTGGTATATAATCTATATGTGAAGGTTCTTTAAACCTTTCTCCAAACTCACACATTTCTCACAACATTTTCTTTAGGAAACCAAGGTGGTTTTTCTAACTGACTAACTTACAAATGATGCCTCAAAGTCTCATTGAGCTAAAATGGCTATATAGAGCAATAGAGTTTGTACACAGTTTTTTTTTCTTCAGACAAAAGGCATTGAAGAAAAGAGATTTGTACCGACATCTGTAAGTGTGATGGGGCTAAAGACTTAAGACTTTACTGTGCTCCCTAGTACAACCAGACAAGTCTAAAACAAGGTTTAAAAAGATATGATTTAAATTTTACAGTGGAAACACCATAGTAATATTGATGTCCTTTTGTTTTTTGTTTAAATATAGTAGATTGCTGAAAAAAATGTGCCTTCTCAGAGATACAGGTCAGCCTTCTGACCTGTATACAGTACATCTAATGTACTGTATGCTGTCATTTACAAATTAAGAATTTTCAAAAATTGCTTACATATGGTCGAAGGGGCTGATTTACTGTGCAGTAACAGACTACAGTGAGTAACTATGAGTAACTGTGTACCTACGAAGTGCACCTACATGATATAACAGGCTGTGAGTGGACTTAAAAGTGTAATAATCTGACAATTCGGTGGAAGTTAAAAATAGTTAAATGTACCGCAGGTGTATAGCAGATGAATTTAATAATAATGAATTTAAGCAGTCAACAGCTTCACAACTGATATCTGAAAAGTGTATACCATATGCCACTGAAATAATAATGCAGTTTCCACACATTTTAACAACTTTGAAATAACTAAAGCCTAACATTGTTGATGCATGTAGCTTATTAATATTATCCAAAGACAGTGTCAAAGTTCTGTTTGTGTCTTGTAATTACAACCTCAGTGGGAGTTCAGAGAGCACTTCTGTCTTTTTTTGTTATGAGTCAGAGAAACCCACACTCAAGAAAACTTCATCACCAACTCATCCATCTAGTCTACTTCCACACCTACCTTGCAATGTTTCTTGTGTTTGTTAGTCTTCTCAGCTTTATGTGCCTTCTTTTTTGCTTTCTTCACCTTTTTATGCATCTTGTGGCCTGCAATAATCATTCCTCCTCCAGCAATTGCCCCAGGTAACCCCACAGGAGAGCCACCATGAGACAGCGAATATGGGCCTGGATTTACTGTTCCAGGTGGAGGAACATAAGGGGAAGGGCCTGTAGGATAAGGGTTTTGTCCTCCAGCCATGTATGGCATAGTTGGAGGCATGGCAGGATTTATGTCAGGTGGATATACTGGATTCTGACCATGTGGGTATCCTGTGTTTGCTGGAACAGGATGAGTAGTATCAGGAGGGGGAGGAAAGGCAGGGTTGAAGGGAACTGTTGAAGGGCCTGTAAAAAAAAAAAATCACATAAATAAAAAAAAACAACAAACCGCACAAAAAAACCCCCATAAAATAAGCAAATTAAAGCAGCGCACCTTGGTTTGGCCACATGTCTCCTCTTTAGTTCTAGTCCCACGAGGCAAAATCTGACTGAATTGACTATATGCCTGAAAAAACAAAACAAAAAAATTGTGTGTGTATATATATATCGTATCTCCAAAATGATAATTTTACAGGAGAAGGAAAAATTACTTTTAATGCAAGCCAGTGGAACCAGATGTCTTTCCAAAACATTTTGGACCATTTCTTTTGGTCCATTCTTCATGAAATTCACACACAATGTAAAGGCCAACAGGCATTTTCAAATCTTGTCAAAAACTGACGAACAACAAAAACTGAAGGTTTTCTTCAGGCAATGGCGATATACATATATATGTATGTGTATATACATAGAGAGAGAGAGAGCCTGTTTTTGGTGGAACCAGCTCCTGGTTGGCTGTTGTTTCGCAGCCAACAAGGAGCTTGCATGCAGTGAAAAGGCTCATGAGAGGAACAACTACTTTGTTGTCTATTGGGTAAAAGGTGTGTGATGGGTTATTCTGTGTCGGGGAGGGGTTTTGGCTGGTGTTGACCTCCTCCGTGGGTTTCATGTATGTATGTGCCTGTTTCTGCATGTTGTTCATTAAAAAGTTGTTCTCACATCAGAATCATGGCTTTAGTTGAACCTTCTTTTTGTTGATACAAAATCTATATATATACGGAGATGTTGATGATAGCTTACAAACTGTGCATAGCATCAGATTACTAAGTGTACTCACTGTCCTACCCAAACACACATCATCCAATTCATCTCTTAATGTTTAGGTGCGTCCAGTGTTACTAACAATTGGTCATACCTATGAAGTGGTTCTACTGAGCATGTGCATATTATTACTAGGCTATTACATAGTAATTTAGTGTTGCAAACGTCATATTGTGTGTTTAACATTATTTCAGTACAGACTCATTAATATTAATATTACTACTTACCCCCTGATAAGGTGATTAAGGTTATCAAAATATCCTACACATTTCATTGCTGGTGGCAATTTAATGTCATTTAGGCTACCAAAATATTTTACCTACAATTTTATGTACAAAGCTACCTATAATATGCGCTATGGTAGGATATTTCGACAAAGAGGACAATTCAACAGAACACCTGCATAAATGCGTCAGCATTACGTAACTACGTAAACTAAGGTAAACTTTTCAGATCAATCCAAAGAAACTTGTTATCCTGAAAAAGAGGATTCATTGACATAGGAATGACTTTCTGTGGAACACGTGAAGGTAGCAGACAACGTATCAGTGAGATTCCGAAATGCAACCTACTAAACGCGCTACACGCACGCAGTTACACCAAAAAAAATTAGAAGAATCGCGTAAGAAAAGCTAGTTTCCCGTGAGCTCTTTAATGTCTGGAATTTAGCGCATTGTGAATGAATTTAGCGCATTATAAAGAGGACGTTACGTAAAGAAAAGCGATATTTCAGGCCTAAATGTAAACCACCCTCGGTTTAAACAAGGATATATGACCTTCTAAGGAACACAATGTTGCTGTTAGAACTACCACACCCGCTTTAGATCAACAAAGGAAAATCACAAGAAATACAGAAATAAAGCTTGGGCTAAGATGCGCATTCAAGATGACAATGTGCCGAAATGAGTTTAAATAAAATATAAACATTAAAACTTACCCCTTTGTCCTCCTGGTAGAGGTGTGTTCGAAACGTGTAAACTTGCACTCTTGCTACTCTTCCGGGTTTCTCTGTCTCATTGCATGCTGGAATAGTCTGCTTTTTCCTGCTTATTTACCACCGTAAAGTTGGCTTGCGGTTAGCGATTCAGAATCTATCGGCTCTAAAACCGTAATGCAGTAACGTATATCTGCAAACACTAGTGCGTTTTGTTAGTCCTGGTTTGTGAATTCAGATGACGTCATTTTCGTCGCTGAAATCCACCAAAATTACCCAGCAGGGATTTATTTTTAAAAGATTATAACTTCAAAAGTCGAATTCTCAAATGAATGAGGTTCAGACTAAGCTCGTCCTTGAAGTAAGTTAAATAACATCTTTTTTTTTTTTTTTATTTTGCCAGGTGATTTTCAATACAAATGACATCAAAATCTATGAAAATGTGTTTGATTTAGCAGAACTTTTGTGAAAAGTTTCACATTCACATATGGGGCTCGGTGTGTTTGCTTCATACTACTCTATATCCTCAGGAGTAAGACTATTGTACTTGGAGTTTGATTTCTTATACACACATGATCAATAACCTTGAAAATTCACTTGTTGTACATTTTACTTGATTGAACAGATCTTGCCTAAAACAAGTGAAATGTTTTACGTATACCAGCGCTGCAGAGTCAGGGCCTCAAAATATTCAGCTTTTTATTGGCAAAACCTATTATTAAAGGACTGATAGACAAAAAACACAGTTGCGAAATATTTCACGAATCAGAAAAGTTGATTTATGCCTGCTGTTATCTCAATACATGATCAGTGATCAAAGTTACATGCGTTAGTGTTCTATATTTGCCACAAAAGCTGAACTACTGTATTATTACACATGGAAATATGAGTAGAATTTTATAAAAAAAAAATCCAAACTGTTTTTGTGAAAGTTTTCACAAATCAGATAATAACTAATACTGCATGATTATTGGTAGTGTACATTTATTAAATCGTGTTCTAAAGTTAAAACCACACATTTTTCAACTTTTTTGTGCAAAACTCTTTTAATCAATAACAAACAATTCTAGCTTAGTTTTTTCATCTCCTTACATATGTATTACTGGGCAAATAACAGAAATACTGAATTTTGTATGCATGGTAATGGAAATGGACCTGTATAAACCAAGAAAATATAGTAACGTGTATAACAAGTGAATTTGCAAGATTGTTGATCATTTGATCGGTTGTATATGAAATGAAACTCCAAAGTCAGATAGTCTTATTCCTGAGGAGATAGAGCTGTATGGAGCAATCAATCATACCAAGCTCAATGTGTGGAAATTTTTCACAATTCGAGCTCTGCGAAATCAAACACATTTTCATAGATTGTGAATTTCATTTGTATTGAAAATACACTTATATTTCACGTACTTCAACTTTCTTTGCTCGTGGTCTACACAGGCCACAGTTGGACAAAATAAAAACTGTGAAGTTTTCATCAGCCCGGTCAATTTGAACCTGGTTTCATTCATCTGAGAGATCAACTTGAAGTTACAGTATTTAGAAAATAAAACCCTGATGTGTAAACCTACACAAACTACCCAGCATGGAAAAACGAACAACACATGCATTCTTTAACTGAACCATAATAATTTATTTACAAACAATGGCTGTGTTTGAAATAGCCTACTACATATTGCTCGCCTACTAACTGTTCCCAAGTAGTTTGCAATATGTGACCAACATGAATTTTTCCGGTATGAATATTCCAGATGATGTATTGCTCTGACAAAATATTGATAGTTTTCTGATTACGTCACAATTGCGCTCTTACTATTTTGGTAGGCAACATCAAGTTCAGGAGTTCTGTGGTGGTTTGTTGTTAGATAAAGCATACCAATCCAGCAAAGGCAGTAAAACACTTTGTTTTGGATCACTTTTTAAATCTTATTTTTAAAGCGTATTAACTGATGTATTTGAGTGTATTGCCATGGTTTTATTTTATTTGCTGCTGTTGCGATGACAAATGAAAGCTGAGGTCTAAATGGCTGAGATTTCCTGGTGCTTAACTAGTTTCTTGTCCCAAACCACATACTAGCGTATATATATTAGTGTGTAAAAAAAGTGCAAATACTTTAAGAAGTGCACACATTAGTGTAGTAAGTAAAGTACAGAAGTGTGTGGCTTGGGGCGCAACATCAGCCTGTGATACCCACAGTTGCTTTGATGTACGGCATGTTAGCTGCTCATTGAACACTTCCAAGTGAAAATTTAAGGTATTTGTTGATTAAGCGTGCATCTATTGAGGTAAATTAATGTGTTTATTGAGGTGAGCTGATGTTGGCTTCGTAATTGCAACTTTTGTAAACTTTTGTAAGGTGGAAAATCTGTTACAAAATCGAGAGCTATATGGGACCAAGGCCATTCTGGCTTGGGTAGAGGCATGAGTTTACCTGCAGGCAGTATCTTGGGTGTTTTAATTTGAGAAAAGACTGGGCAAATGGAAACAAATCTATGTACATTCTGTTTAAGAGACTCCCAATATCGATTTAATAGTAATTGCTGTGTACGGACGACCAGAGCTGAGAGAGGAGCAAGCCCAGGTAATCAAACGATCACAAAATTGTTCAGGTATGTAAAGCCTCTTGGTTGGCCTTTTTTCAGGGACCTTAACTCTTTCAAGTGTTTTAGTTATCTCATCATCAATTTCCCAACAAATGGATGAGATTTGCACTGAAGGAGGGAGAATAGGCTCGGGCTCAGGAGGACTCTCTCCAGGTCACTCTGGTGAATTTGAGAGAAAGCATCAGCCTTAGAATTATGGGTGCCAGGACAGTATGAGATACTAAACTGGAGGCAAAAACCACACATTTTGGGGCCCCAGTAAGTCGCTGAACCAGGGCACATGCGAGCCCCTATGTCAGTGGCCCACCATAAGCCCTGATGTGAGGGCTTAGTGTGGGCCACCAGTATGGGGCACTACCATGGGGCCCTGCACATGCCATATGAGGACTTTTCCTCATATGAGGGCTTAGTGTGTGCTTCCCGAAGTGGGCCCCCATTCAGTCATGACTATATGCAGGGTCCCATGTTAGGGTCCCTATGGTGGCAGCCTACACTAAGCCCTCATATGAGCCCTCGTATGTTGGAGCGGAGCACTGCATCCTCCTTATGGGTGCAGCGGAACTCCTCACAGTTCACAGCAACAAGTCCGGTGCTACTAGCAGTACCAACAGTAGCAGTGACCATCCTCACAGCCGCCCTCTGCTTTTTCCATTGTCCACTGTGTCATCGTCTCTGGCGAGGGTGCTGCTCATGTGCGCTGCCTTTGGTCTTCAAGGATCTATCCACCTGTGCTGGCACTGAGTGTTCAGCTCTTTCAGCATTGGTGGCTTCACCCGTAAAAAGCCTTGGTACCCTCAACCTGACAGTGCACCTCTCCCCTGGAGATCCTCCAACCAGCTCTGACGCTGCATGTTCAGCCCAAGCCAGTGGCTTCCCCCAGGGAACGAAGGCCACACTGCGAGGGAGCCCCAAATCTCTGCCTTAGCTTCTCTGCTAGGCATCACAACCAGCTTCACTTGTCCTGTCTCCAATCCCTATTATTACATAACACTTCAGGTGGCAGAATGTGACTGCTATACCGTTTAAGGTGGAACAGAAAAATTCGTACAAGAACCTGGCGAATGTTTCTGCAACACACCCATGTGGGTCCAATGTAGGGCCATTGTGAGCTGAAAATTGAGCCCACCACAGGCTGCCCATAGTGGAGCCACAGTCAGTTGTGAAACTGGGGGCACATGTGGGGCTCCATGTTAGAATCCCTATAGTAGCGGCCCATGAGGGCTTAGTGTGGGCCACCAACATAGGGGCCCTAGCACGGAGCCCTGCACATGCCCCCTGTTTCAGGACATGAACATCAGAGATGAAATCTTTTTACTGCATTTTTTTAAATTATGTTTATTACATTTTTCTCAGCGTAAGAAGCATTCATCACACATGCATAACATAGGAAAAAAAGGAACACTCAGCTTACATACACAAATTTTTATGCTGACTAAACCTTTACCCACATTTCAAAAATACCACATTGAATTATACAACCCCATTTTCAAAAAAGTTGGGATGCTGTGTAGAATGTAAATAAAAATCATGTAAACCGTATTTTTTTTAAAGAATACTACAAAGACAACAAATCAAATTTTGAAACTGAAAAATGTTATTATTTTTTTGAAAAATATATGCCCATTTTGAATTTGATGCCAATAACACATTCCAAAAAAGTTGAATCCTGTTTATATATGGTTTCTTCTTTGCATTTTAGTTTTAACTTGCATTTGTGGATGCATTGATGAACTGTGTTCACAGACTGTGGTTTTCAGAAGTGTTTCTGAGCCCATGCAGTGATTTCCACTACAGAATCATGTCTGTTTTTAATGCAGTGCCAGCTGAGGGCCCAAAGATCATGGCCAGCAAATACTGGTTTTTGGCCTTGTCCCTTGCATACAGAGATTTCTCGACATCCTCTGAATCTTTTAATGATATTATGTACCGTAGATGATGAAAAAGTTCTTTACTATTTTACATTGAGAAACATTATTCTTGAATTGCTGCACTACAGTTTCAACATTTGATTTGTTGTCTTTGTACTATTTTCAATTAAATATAGGGTTTAAATAATTTGTACATCATTGCATTTTGACTTTTGGTTTACAACATAACAAGTGTGTCAAGTAGTCTAGAGATACATGTTCAAAAACTGTGCCAGCTTGTTATACAGGCTTTTTTTTCTGTTGTGCATTGTAATAAAATAAATTTTCTTGCACAGAATGTGAATGTTCTCTTAATATATTTTAAAAGAAGCTTGTAGACCTATTCTGTTGGGCAGAAAAAACTGTCTTTCTATCTGCATGTCTATGTGAAGTGTTGTGTCTTTTCTTACAAAGTCCCTTATCTGAAAAGAGCAAAGGATGTCATGTTTATGAATTACATATTTCTCAGTTAGATAGATAGAACTTTATTGATCCTGACAGGACATTGCAGTGTTTCAGTAGCAAGACATATAATTGCATATAAACTCACATATACCATGCAGAGAATAAAAATAAAAATAGAAATAAAAAAGACATACGTTAGGTAAAAATAAAAAATACACAAAAAATAAACATAAGTTAAAGTATAAGAGAGTAGGAATAAAAGTATATCTATTTGCATATTTACATAGCATATAAGACAGATTTATTGTATTTACATGAGAGC